ACTTGAAGTGTCTTACAAAAATAGTATCGATCAAGTGCTAAACCGAGCTTATCACTTAAATGCAAAACCTAGTTAAATTCAAACAAATTACACCATTATTGAACTATCAAATCCAATAAGAATTATTTACTCATTCTATTTTTTTGTTTTGATTATACTAAGTATTGTCAGTGAATATGTTGGTTGTTATAAAACAATAAGTCCAAATTGTTTAATTAATTCAGATTCAAGACTTATACGAACAATCTAAACTAAATACCCAATTGTTTAAAGAAAAAAAAAACACAGATTTTATTTATAAGAATAAACAAATAGATAGACCAGTAGAATTAGAATTGCATAAAATTAATGAAATAAACAGTATATTTGTCCAAATGATAAATAAATTAAAACAAAAAGAACAAAATATATTAATATATCAAAAAATTTATTAAAAATAGTATTTGAGATTCGTTAAACTCTTTAATATTACAATTCTATTAAACATTCCATTATCAAAATTAAATAGTATTAACCAAGAGTGTTGCTTAGATAAAGAGATATTTAAATTAAAATTTGTGTAAAAGATGTAATTAAATGATTATAAATAATTTAATAAAATATTATACTTTTTTAAAAAAATAGTATTATTTAACAGAAAATATTAATTTTTAAAATGATGAAACAACATAATTAGAACAAAGCAACATAATGGCGATTAAACAGATATGAATAATAGAAAAAAAACAAGAGATGTGATATTTAATAACTATCTTCAGATTTTTTTTCAGCTTCATTCCTAACTATGAGATCACTTTCACGTTTTGTATCATTTTTTGTTCCTTCAGGAACTTTATTAGCAATTTCTTTTTCTTTCTTCATACTCATATACTTCTCTTCCATCTTACTTAATACTTTCTTGTGGTCAGTCCAAATAGTTTCCATAATTTTCATATAAGTTGAAGGTACTTCTTGTTCAATACACTCAACTAATTTATCTATAAATGGTTGAGCAGGATCAATTGTCCAATAAACATTCTTTCTAAATTTCTCATTTCCACAATACCCTTCAAAAAGAAGGAATTCTCTTCCATTTTTTTCAATAATAGAATAATTAATTTCTCCATTAAAAATAGTAATATATTCAACAATTAGATCAGCTCTAAATACTAATTTAAATAATATTGGTGAATATTCAATCAAAAACATTTTACCAATCATTGATGTTGGTACACATCTTTCTTTTTCAATAGTACATTTTCCACATCTAATAATTGAAATAATTCTTTCTTTTGATACAATTGGAACAGGAATCATTTGTACTGAATTATTTGTAAAATAATTGATAATTTTACATGAAATATATTTACTTGCTTTAAATTCTGATGGAAGTTGACCTGTTTTAATTGATGGTATTAATTGATGTGTTCTACGTTTTGGAACAATTGCTATTCCTTCTGACATCCTCATTAATAATCTTTGATATGGATTTTGTTTATTTCTATTTACTTCAGTAATTCTCCAACTCCTTCCTTGACGTTTAACAAGACTAAGAATTAATGATTTGGTATGACTTGTAATTTGTAAGACATCTCCAAATAGTACAAAGTTTACATGATAATTTTTTAGTTGTAATAATTCGTTTCTTCTTAATACTGCATCAGACAATGCTTGTTCAGAAGATATAAATGAAACTATATGAACTGAATCCCATTGTCGTTGTTGTGTAATAAATAAACTTTTACGAAGACATCTTAATGGATGTGGTTTATCATAACTTGGTTTTAATTTATCAATACAATCTATTAGCTGTCTTTGATTTGTTGGTGAAATAACCATTGTTGAATTATTATCTGATAACACAATTGAATATCCAGAAAAATAATTTGTTTTTAATATCATTTCTATTGCTTCTTTAACATGTCCTATTCTCGTTGGTAAGTAATCTTCGTTCCACATAGTCCCATTTACTTCAATATTAAAAATACACAAATTCATGGAATAAATAAGTTCAGTTTATAATCAATTATCAGTTTCTTTTTTGGTATTTTTCTTTCCCAATTCTTAGCTTATTTCTATTGGAATTTACTTCTTTACTATTTTTATTATATTATCTATTAAATATATCATTATATATAGTTTTTTTCTTGACTTCAACTTGTTTTATTTTTATCTTTCCTTTTTTCTTTTTTAATGAACAAATCCTAATTTTGTGTTTTCTATAACTTAGATATAAAAAATTAAAAATCTAACCTCCATTGACAAATTCTTTCCTTTCTGCTTTTTAAATGAATTTATAAATTACTTCTTCTTAATAAAATAAAACAATAACCATTTGAAGATTTTAATCAGAAAGATATCTTTTTTATTCTTAAATTAATTCTCTTCATTTAAGTTAATCAAATAGTTATTTATTTAAAAGATTCTAATTTGAAACTTGATCAAAACAATCTAAAATAATAAAAAGATATTGTTTTAATCTCTGTGCTTTTCTTGTTTAAAAATAGTTTTATAAAATCAGTTTGCTTAGAAATATAGTGTTATAGTCTTTTTAGCATTTAGGTAAATTTTTAAACGAGAAAAGTTTTTGATACAAGGATATATTCCTTTTTAAAAATAAACCAATACTATTTTACATATATTTATTCTTATAACTTAAATCTCTTAAAGGTCTTAAAAATTGTTCATTGTCTTTATATTATTTTTTATTGATAAGTATTCTTATACATCTTAAAAATACTGATTTATTTATTCGGAATTCATAACTCATTTATTCATGTCTCAGTAACAAAACAATTGTATAAGAAAACAAGACGAGAACACTATTTTTTAATTGATACTAAAAAAACAACCAATAAAGTTGTAAAAATAATACATAGTAAATAAATTTTTAAAAAGTTTTATTATTAAAGATAACAAGGATTTTGTACTAACTAATTTAACTACCAAAGAGAAGTAGTAATGTTATTTTAGATAATACATAGTTATATTGTTTTGATTTAATGAAAAAAAGGCCTTAAAAAATTATGTTTCAGACTAATAAATTAAATAGATAATAGTCCAAGAACTGTTTAACAGAAATTAATTTAACATTTAATGGTATAAAGAAAACTAGTGCACAAAAAATAATTATAACAATTTTTTATAGATCCTTATCATATAAAATGAGAAAAGGTATTTAAGAATACTAACTTGTATTTATTAGTAATCTTCTTTTTAAAAAACTCAACATAATAATTATATAAAAAATATATAATTTTGGAATCAATTTATAGGATTAAAGTTGCTTAAATATTTTTAAAACCTTTTTAATAATAAAAAGAGAACTATATAATTAATTAGTAAAATAATGAGAATGACTTAATTACATTTTTATGTTATTATTGAAACAACAAAGATACTCTTTTATCTTCAAGTTCTTCTATTGACTTAGACACTTAACTTTAGTTTCTTTAAAACCACTCAAAAGGGATGAAAAAGTCATCAAGCGAGAAATTAATATAAACTTAACAGAACTCTTTATGCACTTAAAGTAAACAATGTCTTGTTACTATATAGATCATTTTCATGGCATGGATCACTAACTGTTACACTATCTGATGTGTTGTTATTGGCTTCTCGTACTTCTTTAGTTGGTGTAAACCTTTGAATTTTGTTGGATAATAGATCT